TCAGGGCTCTCCTGCGGTCCTGGTAGTAAAGTTCGACGCTTTTCATATACTTCAGTTTAGCCATATGCTCGACATCCTTCTCCAGTTCTTCCGCTTCTTGGGCTTCCAACTTAGCTACGTCTTGGGACGTGCCAAGCAGCCTGCGGGTATTCGTTAGTTGGTCGTAGTATCTCCAGAGGTCATCCTTGCAGTCGTCCACCTTGCACTCTAATGGAAGTCCCTGTAACAGGTTCCCGTAGATGCCCTTAAGCGTGGGGATTCTCCTCTGGCCATTGGGCTTGTCTCGTTCGGCCCTAATCTTCGCGTGGGCGTGTTTTGCCATGCGTCTTACTACGTTCTTGCACCGTGGACTCATTGGTTCCGTAGGTGCGAGTTCATCGAAGGTCTCCTGTTCCGAGACGGTGAACGATTCCGCCTCCGACCCTTCATCTGAGCTCTCGTCTTCTGGGGTGCTTTCGCCGTTTATTCCCCAGTCCTGTTTGCTCACAAACGTTGCGTTCAACTGTCCTGTCCAGGTGGCATTGAGTTGTTTGCCGACTTTGCGTCCACCGTTCCCTTTCTTTGGCTGTCTGCAGTCTCGGGCCATGTGGCCTGGCTTGTCGCAGTTAAAACAGAGTCGTTCCTTGAATTGTCTGTCTTTCTTAGGGTCACGGGGTCGTCCAGGTTTGAACGTGGCATCGAGTTCCATTGGGTCCGCCCAACGGTTGTCTCGCGGGTGTTGATCCCGTCATCTGCCCTCGTTTCCCCGGTAGGGGTAACTTTTCTTGGGCTTGTCATAGGTCCGACGTTCCTTCTGGAATTCGTATAGTCGATTGTCGATTCGGACCGTATGTTCGATTAGCGCTACCATGTCCGTTGGTTGTTGTTCCAAACGGGCAAGTTCCATACGTATATGGCTCTTCAGCCCACGTCGGTAGTGGCTGATGAGTGCGCTGGCGTCCCATCCTGTCTGATTGCCGTATCTCTGGAATTCTGTGGAGTATGTGAGGGCGCTGCCAGTCTGCTTAAGTGCAAACAGATGGTCTTCTGCGGTCTTAATCTCATCGATGTCTCCGAACATGCGTCGGATTTCCTTACAGAATCCATTCCAGCTGCCAAACATAGTCTGCGTAGTTGTCATGCTTCCATTGGTACTTTCATATTTGAAATAGTCCTTGAGGAATGGTTCGATCCATCGCAGGGCTTCCCCCCTAAGGTAGGACGCAGTCCACAGGGCATAGCTCTCCTGGGTGGGAAACTTCTCATCATTGAAGTGCTGGTACAGTTCGACCTGTAGCAAAAACACCTCAAGTTCCTTTCGGTTGCCGGAGTAAGTGTCGGGCAACTTGACGCGTAGAGTTTCCTTGAGTTCGTTGACGGTGGGTGCATCGGGCATCTCTTCATTCTCAGGCTTAGACCTCTGAGACGAAGTTGGCGTGGTGGGGGTTTTCCCCTTCGAACTGACGACAGACATGTTGCTTTGTGTGTAAGCCGGTACCTCGTAGAAGTGGTGCTCAAAGTGTAACGCTGACTTCTAAACGATAGAAGACACAGAGGTTCTCTTGCGTAAAGGTTTACTTATCAGAGGAGGCAGGGGATCAGACACAAAGGCTTCAAGTAACACGTTACTAGTATATAACAAATACTGTATTGAGTTGAGCACGAAGCTCCTATCTAAGGAAATACTATTTACTTATATAGTGGCGTCGTGCCTAGTGGACTCTTGGGAACTCACTCGAGTCCTCAGAGTCCTGGACTCTTAGGACTCTTCTCATCATCCTGCGAGTCCATCACGTGCCTAGTGGACTCCTGGGAACTCACTCGAGTCCTCGGAGTCCTGGACTCTTAGGACTCTTCTCATCATCCTGCGAGTCCGTCACGTGATACTTTCGGAACTACTATTCCCCGCTGCCCCTCCAGGTACCAGGGCCGGTCTCATGCGACCTCCCTCCTTCCTGTCCTGTAGTTGGCCAGCCTTCTTGTTCCGTCGTAACACCTTGGTTGATTTTAAATCAGAGATCGTCAAGCAAGGTCTCTTCTGAGTAGTCCAGCTCTGCAGTGAGTCTCTGGAATTCAGCCCAGAATGTTGTGAAGGTATTCTTGCCTTGGTATAACTTGTGATACTCAGTTTGTGCAGTGTGTCTCCTATCAGGGTCGCTAAACACTTTCTCGAGGAGTTGGAGGATTTCTTCTGCTGACTGAAGCATGTTTGGTGAGGTAATGCGAAGCCTTGGGTTCACATGGCGAACTGCGAGTCCTCTTAGTCTGCTTTGGAGATAACTCATCTGCATCTTGTCATTTGGGAAGTGGTCGATGTTGGCTTCCAGCTTGAGTCGGATCTTCACAACCCAGTCTTCAAAAGCTGGTTCAATCCCATCCGTAAGAATAGGAGGATCCGGAATGCGAGCAGACTGGCGAGGTGCTGCATTGCAAATAGGAGCTGTATTCTCAAGATATTTTTGAATGCCTTGCAGTTCAGTAATCTTTTCATCCTTGTCTTGAATTTCTTCTTGGAGCTGTAGAATAGCATCAGAAGCTTGACCGACGATGAGGTAGTACTTCATAATGGCTTTCAACATTGGCCAGGCGTACTCTTGGCTGCTAGGTGACAGCTTTTGGAATTCAGTGTAGGTGTTGACATTCCAATTCCTCATCTGGTGGCCGTTTGATAGTATAGACTGGTGTCTTTCTTGAGCTGTTTTGCCCATCCTCTTGAAATCTTCTTGGGCTTCGAGGAAGTCATCTTGAAGTTCATCTCTCTTCTCAGACTCATCTGCCAAGGTTGTTTTCTCATTTATAGAGTCATAGTCTTCTGGGTTTCGGTCAGCCATCTTGGCTTTTTCTTTGGCTGTGTGTGCCATAGCAGCTTTGCTATTCTTTCAGTTTTCGTATTCAGTAGATCAGACTCGTATCGCCAAAGGCCCTATTGCGCAGTTTGTTGACTGTAGGAGCCACTCGAGAGGAGTGCACTTCCCTCACAGCTATATTCCTTGTTGAGGGAGCATTGTGAAAGGTCTGATCTATGAAGTCTGTGGTGTTCTGGTATTTCTGGTGTGTTCTGTGGTGTTCTGGAATCAACTTTAGGATATGGTTGTAGGGTTTCCAAAGAAGGGAATTCAAATTTCAGTATCAAGGTTCAGGCTCAGAGAGCAAAAGAAAGGTGAGATTCAATCTTATGTTACGATGGTCACGGAGGTCAAGAAGCCAGTCCGGAGAATAATAAGCTAGATTGAATCTAAAGAGAGAAGAAGAAGAAGAAGGAAGGAAGGTGAGGCTATTCCTCGTAATATACAGTTGTCCGCTTAGCGGTTGTAGCCTTGGTGGCTAAGGCTGCACCCGTAACAACCATAACAACCGTAACAAGCTGTAAGCTATAAACAATCTACACTACGGAGGTGTTGTTCATAAGTTTTGTGAGTGGGTCGGGCTAGGGCCCCCTGCGTAGGCTGGTTTGGCAATTCTGGCCAAAGTACCGATTCTCACGCGTCACGAACACTTGAGTGTGAGAGCAATCAATTCTGTAGAATAATGAGTAGAGTAGATACCTAAACCCCTATATAAAACTATACTATAAGCCTAGTACTCTGTGTGCATACCATTTGCAGCAATTACTGCTGCCATACGTGTAGGCATACTATTAAGGAGAGCATTAAGCTCAGCTTCTCCAACTTGCTCCCATGCTTCCTTAACAGCTACACGGAGCTGGTCGTAGGACATATGTTCTGGATGATTATCTTGTAGATAATTCTTCATAATATGCCACACCCGTTCAATTGGGTTGAGATCTGGTGAATACGGGGGCCATTCTATAGGGCAAATACCACGGGATCTCAACTCTTCATATGTTGCACCTGCTCTATGACCTGGAGCTCCATCTTGCATCAATGTAAGGCCTGGGTATAGGCGTAGCCAGCCGTGGATTAGAGGGACAGTATGAGCCATATAGGACTCAGCTCCTATTTTCCCATATTCCTTCTCCCAAAATAGTATAGGACCCTTTCCAAGACCACCTGAGAAGCAGCCCCAGAACATCCAACCTCTAGGGATTGTTAGTAAATCCTATAGTAAATAGGAGTCTCTTACCTTCTCCGTTGTACTCTATCTACAACACATGTATCATCCCACATTTCCCCTGCTTTTCGAGTAACCCATGTACGAGTATGGCGGCCTCCCGTTACCCACGTCTCGTCAGTCCAAAGTATCCTATTCCAATCATTCCGTACCCAATCCTTATGTTCAATAGCCCATGAAAGTCGCTTTTGTCGATTTGTCTCTGAGATAATAGGCTTCCGCATAGCAATCCCTTAATAATTATTAGTCTATATAGTAGTAAAGTAGAGAGGGATACTTACGTCGATTATAGCCTCTCACAGACAGAGCGCGGGTTAGGACAAGCCGTGAGCATGGAATATTAAGAATGCGTATTATATTTGTATATGGCATACGCCTATTCGTGCGAGATGAGGCTATAAACTCAATAACCTCTTGAACTTGCTCATCGGATAGGATAAGTGGCCTACCCGAACGCTTCTTCAGAGTTGGAGGGCCCTGGCAAGCATACCAAGCCTGCCGTTCCGTGCAGCCAATATAGGCTGCAATTTTTTGGAACTCCCAATCTAGGGAGCGTAGTAGTGCGCAACGAAGCCGCTCATCGCGAGTAAGATGAGGCATTGTAGTTATTGAAAGAGTATGAATTTCCTACATATAAAATACAATAGTAGGAATTTTGACGCGTTAAAAAGGTACAAACAAGCCTACGCGTACCCATGCTCCAACCCATGCCCAACCCCCGGTCATCTCATGACCCACTCACAAAACTTATGAACAACACCTCCGTACTTATTAGGCTGACTTTGGGTTGGGCTGACTTTGGGTTGGCCGGCCCAACCGTAAACTCAGCCCAACCCAAAGTCAGCCCAACCCAAAGTCGTCCAATTCATGAGCGGGCCGGCCCAACCGTGAACTAGAAAAATCGTGGTTAGACCGGCCAGTTCATGAACCAGCTCAGTTCACGATTGGGTCGGAACATATTTTTAAAGCAAAAACAAATTAAAAAATTGTTAATAATAATACGAGATAACTTAGAGTTACTTGGTATTTCAAAGGATAGATATTTATTTTACGGCCTGCGAGGGAACGCCAATATGATGGTGAGACACGGAGGGTGGCGGGGTGGGTGAAAACAAGGGGGTTGAGAAGGGTATATATTCCGATACAATTAGACATGGCATAGTTCATGCGACAGTGCCAGGCAGTGCAGGATGACGGGAATTAGTTGAGAGAAGCGAAGATTCAGTTGAAGATGAAATGTTTTTTGGTGAACGAAGAGAACCGGAGGTTGATTTGCACGAGGAAGAGAGCTGTATGCGAAGATAAAAAACTAGAGCTGAGACAGTTTGAACGGCAGGCGCGGAAAAGTGTGAAAGCCGAGTCGGAGTGTCAAAAAGAGCTATCTTGGGTTCCAATCTTGAAGCTGTGCACAGCACCGTATGGCTTGGGTGAAAAGACTTGCCCTAGAGGGTCCTGCATCCAGCTATCTGCGGGCGTTGGCTGCAGATAGAGCGGGGCGCGAAGCGGTCTACACAATAATGGGAACGACGACGGCGGTGATGAAGTGGATGATGTATATGGAAGTGTCGTGGAATGGGATGCATGGAAATGAAAGTGACACTCTGACGACTTGTCGGTTGAGCCTCCATCAAAGAGGCGATAAAAGAAGCGTTTCGTTGTAGGCATTGCGGTTGGTACATGTCGGATGTTGAGTATCATTGCAATAGTCTAGACCATGGTATTGGGGGGGGGGTGCGGCAGAGCACATTTGGTACCAGTCATGGTATGGGTATTATAATGTTTGATATCGGATTGTTGACGAAGACAAAACAGGAATGGTGGAGGGTTATTTAGAGGCACACTCAGGGGCATATCAAGGGGAGAGACAAGGAGCGAGTAAGTAGGAAGGGAGCGAAGGGGATTGGGATTGGGAAATCGGTGTAGTAGGGGAGTTAAGGGGTGAAGGGGGGATAAAGGGGGCGACGGTTAAGTGGCAGGGGGGTTTATAGGAATTGAATTGAATTGGCGTTTCAATCTGATGATGATAGCGACTCATCTATCGACTGCAATGAGCCCGATGTGATCGCACGATTAGGCCTGGTTTACGGTCTTTTGGCAGTAGCATTTCACGCCCCATGGGGTTTGGGTTTTCAGACTTAGAAATTTTGCAATTTCGCACTTCCTATGTCAGGCCCCAAGACAAGATTTCTTCATGGGCTCAGGAGCATGGAGGCAAGCTGAACACCATATTGATAGGTTTGGATGCTACGTTTAAGCAAGCAAAAGGTAAATTCTTAGAACAATTAGAGGGCCATCTCAAGGTATCTATGACCAAGCTGTACACTCCGGAGCAGATTTTGAAAAGGGAAAAGGAGGTTGACTGCCAACTCTCACAGAATATGGGGGATCAACTGAGTCTAAAAATCCGGAAGATTAGCATCAATATCGAGGGATAGATTATGATAGGTAAAGCTGAAATGGCCAATATCTGTCTCGGTGTAGCTAATTAATTATGTGGACGCTATGAGGCAGATCGAGCGAACCCCTTACCCTCGCTCGGCGTGTTTAGACTGCGTCATAAGGAATAACGACCATTCCACTCGCCATGGTGCCACTTTCTGAACTTCATTGTTTGTAAGAATTACATGTACACCTTGCAACGACTCAGCCACGACCCTGGCTATGCATCCATCCACAGCCACCAACACTGATGCGCCAATATGTACCTCTCTAGAGCAGGACGTAAAGTGATGCCTCCCTCACGCAGTTATTCCGCATCTGTCGCCATGGACTCTCATCTATACGAGACTCTTAACGATGTCGCTAGTACCGCAGGCGAGAAGGATGGCGACAGAGTGCTCATTGATGGAGAGGCAAAGGAGGGAAAGGTAACAGGAGTAGAACTCGTTTATCGCCGGGGCAGTGCCTTCCTTGGCGTCTGGTGGTTTTTTACTTTCTTAATGCTGCGCGCGACTAGGCAAAACGTCGTTCGATGAGGATCGTGGCAAGGTCGAGGATGCACTAGGGTTAAAGCGGTTGTTATGACGATGTCCCCAGAAGTGCCTCAGTTGCGATGTTAGGCTTGACTGTTTCCATGAGGGTCTTGAGCGACTTGTCGGCGGTGCTGGTCCTATGGCCTGTTCTTAGTATATGCTTCGGATATCTGTGCTCCATTTCTGGTTACTCCTAAGCCGATCCCAAGGGAGGCCTAACCCCTTATCAATCCTTACTAACTACGGACAGCTAGTTAGGAGCACTCTAGGAGTTGGCAGTCGTTAGACTAGCGCGAGATATGATAAGGGGACTGACACTTGATAGCCGTCATAGGATTAGGCGTTGCGAGTGGCGATAATTAGGCTCTACTCCGTATGACTGAATCATTAGCATGGGGGTCCCCATGGGCAATAGTGGTGATAGTGACATTCTGTAACTTCATCCTTAGTGGTCATATCTTGCGTCGTTACCACACTTTCAACGTATGGTCAACTAACCACGAACTAGCATCCCGCTCCCTCAACTTCCTCCCACATCTCCTCGCCGCATGCCGCATGCCGCATCCCGCATCGCATCCCGCATGCCGCATCCCGCATCCCATAATATATCTCAGCCCATCAGGTAGTATAATAACCCATTATGTATACTACAATATAAGGCGAAAGCCGCAGTGCACTATAACTTTACGGCTGATTCATTGAATCGCCAATAAATCTGCCGAGATGCTTGGGTGTAGTAGATCTGCCGCGATCTCCCTCACCGGCGATGCGCGACGACGCCAGACCCATAATTAATTCTCAATGGGAGACTCTCACGATCCAAAAACCAGCCCTAAACGATCTCGGATGGGTCCAACGGTTTTTTCAATGCTTATCCCAGCGGCAGTCCAACACTGCCTTTCAAAATTACTGCGCCGTTAGCAGCCTTGCCGTCTCCCGTCGCCATTCCTGTCGCTTTAACCACTATCCCTGTCGTGACAGTGCTCAGCCGTCGAACCTCGTCCCTTTTCCCTTTTCGCATCCTGTAAAAACCCCGCCGTCACAATAGTTGCAGATTATTACACCTGATTGATTAGATACTTTCACAAGACAGTTGATTGGGTTGTTTCGGAGATCTTGAGTGATACGTACAATCAGGAACAACACTACTTCCATTCTGATGTCATTTTTGTGGACAGAAAATGTGGCGCCTTGCCACACATTTCTCAAAAAATTTCACATATTCCATAATAGAAATAATCATTAAACACTAGACATCAAAATGGGGTTCATGAGCGGAAAGTCAAACACAGACGCCATAGAGAGGTACGATGGCAATGCAAATGCTATGCTGACAACAGCGGCGAGAAGGGTCTCAGGGCCGACAATGAGCCCACAACCCAACGCCGACAACAGCAGGCGACGAGTCTACTGAGCCTGTCACTAAAAAGCACATGAAAACATACATGGGACTTTCTGGCCGAAAACTCAACATTGCAATCTCCGTCGTTGCGACAAATGGATTTCTGCTTTTCAAATTCGACCAAGGTGTAATGGGTGGGATCATTACGGACCGGTCTTCAACGTTTATTTCCTAACGACAAAAGATAATTCTACGGTACAAGGCATCACGACTGGAATTTACGAGATCGGCTGCCTTCTTGGCGCTATCTTCATTCTCATTTTCGGCGAGTGGCTTGGCCGTAGCCGAGCCTGTATCACAGGTGGATGGGTTATGATTCTCGGGGTCATCATCTAGGTGGCCTCGTTTACTGGACATATGCCCTTTCTGCAATTCATGGTTGGACGAACGATTACCGGTGTCGGAACGGCATCAACACATCAACTATTCCCACATATCAGGCCGAATGCTCCAATCATCGAACCGTGGTCTCTTGATCTGTATCGAGGGGCGCTACGATCGCGTTCGGAACTATCATTGCTTATTGGATCAACTACGGTTCTCAGTTCTCCGATAACGAGAGTGTTCACTAGAGATGGCCCATCGCTTTCCAGATTGTATTTGGTCTCTTCCTCTCTGTTGTCATAGTGTTCCTTCCAGAATCTCCTAGATGGCTTCTCAGCCGTGAGAGATACGAGGAGGGCGAAAGTGTGCTCGCCTCCCTCCATGGCAAGGACACTCATCACCCCGAGGTCCAGGCGCAGAAGGCTGTCATCCTCGACTCGATCCGCGCAGCTGGCAAGGGCGTGAGCTTCCCCAGTCTGTTCACTGGCGGCAAAACACAGCATATGCGTCCATTGTGTCACCGATGAACCCCCGGGCTCGTCTAACAGTTCTTTTTGACTGTTGCCATAGTGGTTCTGCGATCGAACTTCCCTTTGTCTATCGACCGAATTCGGCAGGACAGGTTAACTTCGTCGACAACGTAAAGCAGGGTATTAGCCTTGCTGCATCGGCTTTTAATCTCCTGTGCTAAAAAGATCCAAGGTGCCCAGGCCCTCTTTGGAGGAGCACAATCTTTCTTTGCTTCTCTGCACCATCAAGGTGGTGGAGGTCCCACCAACTAGAATGGCCTGGGCGAGGAAACCTTTGTCGAGGATTGAAAGAATGAGGGGAAGGATATTTGGATGTTTAGTGGATGCGCTGATAATCAGACGTCGGCCGATACAAGCATTGCGGGGGCTGCAACAGGTTCGTTAACGTGTGGTCGGATCATCGAGTCTGTTAAGGAAGCGCCCGCCTGCCGTGCTAGTGCTGTGGCGACTAGAGAACCCGAATCAGAGCTATGTTGAGGTAAGTCCTGTTTTCTTAAAACAACACTAGCCCTTTACAAGTAGATGTCGTCTGACGACTTTATAGATCCTTCAAAATACCCGACAACTCTTGGCACAGAAATATCAACAGATCCCTCATTTATCTGTAGGCGGAGAATATGACCTACGCCAAAGAGTCTCTGTACTATACATCAATTTTATTTTACTAGGACAGTGAACTAATTGTGGCTAGTTTTGAAACATCTTCTTTTAAGTAGAGACGAACAGATTCAGGGTTGGTTTTATATCCGCGATGTTTTGAAGACTTAGAGGTGTAGGCATATGCTTTATTTTATAAAGCATAGGCCTACACCTCTAAGTCTTGTCCATACACATCACTCCTACATCCTCAGGCCAGCTACAGCCAGCCCCAGCTAACGCTGCGCGTTATGCACACCCCTAATCCTTCCACGTCACAGTCTTGGTAAGCAGAAACTCCTCCAGCCCCTGCGCCGCATTGAACCTGCCCCATCCGCTATTCCTCACGCCCCCATGCGGCAACACCGGCTCATCATGCACCGTCATGCTATTAATATGCACAGTATACACCCACCCACTCACTCACACCTCCCCAAGGACAATACTCACCCCGATTCCAGCTTCTTCGCAAGCTTAAACCCCCTCCTCAAGTCCTCAGTGAACACAGCAGCCGAAAGCCCATAGCCCCCACTGTTCGCGACCTCCACCGCCTCCTCGTCAGACGACACCACTCTGCACGCCGCGAGCGACGCGAACAATTCCTCTAGCCAGAGGGGATCCTCGTCACCTGCGCCGCCGACGACGACAGGTGCGAGGCGTATGCTCGATGCCTTTTCGTCCGATTCGGCGGCGTCGACGGAGCCGTGGATGAGGTGCGCGCCGGCGGCGAGGGAGGACGTGACAAGGGCTTGGACGCGTGCTTTTGAGGCCGCGGAGACGAGGGTGGGGGCGTCAGATGGCGGGGCGGAGGAGAGCGCTGATTTGAGGGCTGCGAGGAACGCGGGGGCGATGGCGGAGTGGAGGATTATGCGGTCGGTGGACATGCAGATTTGACCGGACTGTAAGTGGTGGTGGTTAGCAATAGTTTCACTTGATTAGTTAACCGGGAGGCGGGGGTTGTTACGTTTAAGAAGGCCCCTGCGATGACGGATTGCACGGCGATGTCGAGGTTAGCATCTTCGCATACAATGGCGCTGTTCTTCCCGCCTAGCTCCATCAGGCAGGGCTTTAGCTGCATCCCCGCTTCCTTTGCGATGCGACGCCCGACCGAGATGCTGCCTGTGAAGTTGATCTTGCGTACAGCAGGATGCGCAATCATAGCGTTGACGACAGCGGGCGCGTCGGCAGGGCGGCAGGAGACGATGTTCAGGCAGCCGGCAGGGAGGCCCGCATCGGCGAATGCGCATCCAATGGCCCAGTAGCAGCGCGGGGAGAGGTGGGACGATTTCAGCACTGTGGTGTTACCGCCGGCGAGGGCGGTGGCGGCGGAGCGGATGCCAAAGACGTAGGGCGCGTTCCTGGAGACGGGGGGGAAAGCATAGGATCGATAGCGAGCAGCGGTGTTGGGGGGCGTCAAACGCGGGAAAGGAAGCGGGGATCTAACTAACCAAGGAACTATCCCGAGGATGACACCCATGGGCTCCTTATACCGATGGCGCTCTGGCCCTCCTCTTCCACAGTGGGCACGCTGCCGCAGACGGAGGTAATGCGACCTGCGACGTCGCGGAGCATCTTGATAGCGAGGGGCACGACGAAGAACTGCGAGGCGCCCACGTCGGCACCCATCTCCGTCCGCATGATTTCGGCATTGGCCTCGGTGCGCTCCTCGAGGAGGTCGGCTGCGCGGAGGAGGATGTCGCGCCGCGCGGTGGGCTTAGTCGCTGACCAGGCGGGGAAGGCGGCAGATGCGGCGTCGACGGCGCGCAGGGCGTCGGAGGGGGTGGCGGAGGTGCTGGTCCAGAAGGTGGTGTTGGTGTAGGGGCTTATTACGTCGAAGGTTGAGGGGCCGGTCTCCTCGATGCCGTTGATCCAGGAGGGGACGGCGATTTGCGAAGGTGCATCGCCGTTAGTGTCATTTGATGCCATCTCGGTACCGTTTTGTAGCATGGCGTCGGTTTCGTTCTCACAGGTATCTCCCAAGTATTGTGTTTTGGCATCCTTTGATGCCAAGTTGCCATCAAGGTCCACTTTCAAAACAATAGTGCACTATGGTACACAAGACTACGTGTAACGTCTCCGCAGCTGTCATACAGTATTATCTCGTTAAGTCGATACACGATTAGTCGGTTTTCTAGATAACTCGATAACTTTCTTGGGATCCTTCCATTCGTCATACAAATCACAATACACACAATATTAAGTCCCTTTTCCGATTATGGACTTAAACTAATTACTAGACTACTTTTAGAATACCTTCAAAATGCCTTCGAAAAAGCTCTATTCTATGACTCTCGAACAGCGAAAAGCCCTCCGAACCTAGCATCGATCTCACCATCCGAAACCTACACAAAAGGCCACTATACAGTGGTTCCTTAAGCAATACAATCATTGACTTAAGCCAATCTACAGTCTTAGAATCCCTTAGCTCTCGATTTTCAGACCTTGATGATACTCCTAATACTCTGGAAACAAACAGCTCTAAAGCTTAGCGTCGCTACGCTATTGCCTAGCCTGAATTAGAAGCTGCTCTTTACCACTAGCAAAGGCTTATTAAAGAGCGTAGCGGCATTACAACTATAGAAATCTTATAATCAAAGGCGAAGATTATCTAGAATCAGCTACTATAATACCGTAGACTACCTATGCTAGAATTTAGCTACGGATGGATCGTAAAGTTTCGACAACAGCATAATATATTATATCGAACTCTATATAGCAAAGCTAGATCTATTAGTGTCACTATAGAAGAACAAATGAAGGCTATACAAACTATTATAGGGGAGTTTTTAGAGGACAATATTTATAACATAGATAAGACTAGGCTTTACTAGAGGATGAGCCCTTTAAAGGGCTTTATAACACGATTAATTCTAGGACAGAAGAAGGACAAAGCACGCATATTAGTAGCCATTTGTGTTAATGCTACTAGAACAGATTGATTGACTTCCTCTTTGGTTTATTAGAAAGGCTAAAAAGCTTTAAGCTTTACTATACGTTAATATAGGGGCAATAGGTAGGGTTTAGAGGTGGAATAAGAAGGCTTACATGAATCAATTTGTTATGGTAGATTAGCTAAATGCTTTCTATACTCATATTAGTACGCCATGTTCTATACTGCTTATAATAGATAACTTCTCAGCCTATATTGCTACAGTAGAATCGACGCCTCCTCCTCTAAACATATGACTTATCTAGCTTCCTCCAAATGCGACCAGTTGCTATCAACCTCTTAATCAAGGTATTATAGCCTCTTTAAAAAGCTATTATCGTTAGCAATGGCTCGAGTTCATGCTTAAATCTTTTAGCAACAACCTAGATCTAATCAAAACAATAACAATACACTTTGCAATTCGCTAGCTTATTCGATCATGGCATCATGATGTTACAAATACAACTATTTACAATTGCTTTTGAAAAAACACGATTCTTTTATGTCTAATACAGCTTCCTATACACCCACTTCCTGTTCTAAATGACTTATATACTCAAGGACAACAAGCTGGTTATATATTAGACGCTATAGACCTTTCAAACTTTTTGAATCTAGTAGAGGAGGGAATACAAGAGGTAGAGGGAATATAAGAGGTAGAGGGAGGCTTAGATGAGGACACAATTCTACAGGAGGTGATGGCTCTATATATATACAGGTTTCTAATGCTTAAGATGATGATGATGAGGAGCCCTAGCGTCCTATGCTCACTACAAAGAACACTGTACAAGCCCTCTAAGTTCTGATTAAGTTCTTAGAATCTGAGAATAGTGGCATCATGGATCTAGTATCATTTTTGCGCTCTTTAGAGCATGTAGAGAGGCAATTAGTAGCCAAACAGGCTAATGACTTAGTTTAAGGCACGTTAGATAGATGGATGGTTTAGCTAGGGGGCTACTTTAGGTCTACTTCAGATCACTTTCTAACTCAATATTACTATAATTGATATATTTATACATGACCAATTACATTGACTTAACGAGATAATACTGTAGTGTCATGTGAAAAAAAAAGGAGGTTCAAAGCTTAGGTGTACGTAGAGTGGTACTTGGTGGTAGGATTGGCCCTAAGACCAGTATAGGCCTTCGTTGTTACAATATCAAGTGCGCCTTGCAGCTCGAGTGGGGGTTCAGGGGTGTGGGGAGCTTTCCGGGGTTGGAGCGAAGTTTTCAGTTGTGGAGTGAATTCTCAGAACTAGTCTCGCTAAAGAGAATTCACTCCACAACAACATAGCTGTATATAGATTGAGCCACTGCTAGAGTGCTCCTCTTCTCTTTCCTTTCTTCTCTAGATTGAGTTTAATTCATAATACCCAACTGGCGCCCTATGCCTTGGTGAACCATGACATTCGTCCCCTATAAGCCATTTAGCAAGAATACTAGCAATTTTACATAACTTAACTTATATGGAGATTGGCTCAACCCAGCCATGTGGCATGCTTCAAGGGGCCTTGTACCTGATTAAAATCAGGATTAAAATCAGTAGCCCCATGCCTCACATAGGTATGTATAATAAGGGTCGGACTGGCGAGAACGGGTTCTATATAGAGGTGTTGTTTAAAAGTTTTGTTAGTGGATCCAGAGATGGTAGGGGGTAAGGCAAGTATTAGGACATGGGTACGTGTAGGCTGCATTGAAATTCTTCCTATAGTATTTTGTATGTAGGAAATTCATACTCTTCTATAACTACAATGCATCACCTTACTTGCGATGAGCGGCTCTAGTGCTCTGTCCACTCTCTAACTCTAAATTAGGAGTTCTAGCAAATAGCAGAGAACCTAGGCTGTACAGAGCGGCATGCCTGCCATAGGCCTCTAACTCCAAAAAAGAGGTCGGGTAGGCTACTTATCCTATCTAACAATCAAGTTGACGAGGTTATTGAGTTTATAAGCTCTCCTTGTCAGAATAGGCATGTGCCATATACGAAGGTTATAGAGCTTCTAGAAATTCCATGCTCGCGGCTTAACCTGGCTCTCTTAGTAAGAGAGTATAATAGAAGTGAGTATTCCCATCTATCTACTACTATAAATACTAAAAAGATCTAGGGATTGCTATGCAAAAGCCAATTATTTCAGAGATAAATTGACGAAAGTGACTTAAGTGGGCCATTACCCATAGAAGCTAGATACGGAATGACTAGGACAGAATCCTTTAGACCGACGAGACGTGGGTGACGGGTGGGCGTCATATTCATACGTGGGTAACCCAGAAAGCAGGGGAAACGTGGGATGATACGTGTGTTGTAGACAGAGTACAATGGAGGAAGTGAGAAAACCCCCTATTTACTATGGTATTTACTTATATATCTCTAGAGGTTGGATGTTCTAGGGCTGTTTCTTAGATGCTCTCGGGAAGGGTCCTACGCTCTTCTAGGAGAAGGAATTTGGGAAGATTTTACCTATATGGCTCATACTATCCCTCTGATTCACGGCTGGCTACGTATGTATCCAGGCCTTACATTAATGTAAGATGGAGCTCCAGGTCACCGAGCGGGTGCTACGATTAAGGTTGAGAAGCCGTGGCATTTACCCTATTGAATGGCCCCCGTACTCACCGGATCTCAACCCGATTGAACGGGTATGGCATATTATGAAGAATTATCTACAAGATAATTATCTAGAGCACATGTCCTACGACCATGCGTGCCCATGTGCTCTAGATAATTATCTACAAGATAATTATCTAGAGCACATGGGCACGCAGAGCTTGATGCTCTCATTAACAGTATGCCTACCCGTATGGCAGCAGTAAATGCTGCAAATGGTATGCACATGGAGTACTAGGCATTTAGTATAGATTTATATAGTTAATTAGGTAGCTATTATACTCTTTATTCTACAGAATTCATCACTCTCATTCTCGAGTCACCGCGTCGTATGAGAATCGGTACTTCGGCCAGAATTGCCAAGCCAGCCTACGCAGTGGGGCCCTGGCCGGATCCACTGACAAAACTTGTGTCTAATCTCACCACGTCTCCGCTACCTAAAGCTAACAGGCGGCTTGTCTTGGTTCGCAGCGGGGCTCAGGAGAGGGGAGGAGGTGTGATGGGATGGTGGATGGATGGGAGACAGGGGTTAGGTTTGCTAGTAGAGGGCGGTGCCTCGGAGGTTCTCCCGAAAGGGGGTATATGCGGGACCGGTTGGTCTGATGTTATGAGCCACTGCGAGTCTGGTGTGTAGTGTGCCCTGCGGCCTTGCTGCGGAGTTGCAGCTCTGTAGCTTGGTAGCAGGTATGGCAGGTATGGCTACATAAGTAAGAGGCATGGGGCTTGCATATATACAGCGTAATAAAGGGGTGCACTTATCAGCATATATTCTTGGTGAGGTGCGAGTATGAGGGGTATAGAGTAGTATTGCGTCGAGCTGCATTATTTATGTATGAAGACTTTGGCTTTATTTGCAACGGAGGTTAAATAGTATATACTAAAGCCAGTGTATATACTATAGTCTTTCACGTGGACCATTCGTAGATCCTTCTTCTAAGCAATTTTTATAATGTCGCTACGTCTACAGACCCAACAGCGCTCCACGGACCACCATCTTCCTTCTCCATAATCCTCTCACCATCCTCGGTCGCCGCAATTGTCTCACTAATATGCACCGTGAGCTTCCTCACCGAGTGCCCCTTCAGGATCACCAAGACCATCAGCACATCCACCGCCAGTACAAAAAACGCACCCATGCCCCACATCCAGCCGACGCCCACCGCCATCTGCCACTGCGTGATGATGAAGACGCTCATGAGCCCAAACGCAATGCGGTACGAGTTGAGCGCGACGCTGGCCTCGACGGGCGTGCGCAGGAAGCACTCCACAATGTAGTTGTAGCACACGGGCAGGACAAGCAGTGCAGCGAACCAAATCAGGAAGCTCGCGAGCGCAAGAACCATGATGTGGAGGTGTAGCTGTAAACCCGCGCCGTAGATCCCGAGGCCGATGGGGAGTAGTAGGCCTGGGAGCACGGCGTTGGCGAGGCGGTACTCGGGGTGCCAGACGCCGCCGCGGCGGCGCGCGACCCAGAGGGGGATGGCGTCGTTGAAGAAGTACCCGTAGGCTTGAGCGCCGAGGATTCCGATCCAGGCCGTCATGGTGAAGAAGGCGAGCTGGAGCGAGGAGAAGCCGTAGCCGCCGGCGACGACGGGGGGCATGAGGTAGATGGCGAGGGTGGAGGCTTGCATGATGGGCAGGCCGAGGGCAACGAAGACAAAGGTTCCGACCGCGAGGGTGATGGGGGCGATTGTGATTTGGAGGGGGACGATGGCGCGGCGTTTCTAAGGGACTGTAAGTGGGTGCGGGGGGGGGGAAGTTGAGGGGTTGAGGAGGGGACATACGAATTCAGCGAATCTTCCGGTAGGCTGGGTGGCTGAGCCGGGGAAGAAGGTCGCGACGCGGTTAGGGAACCAGGACTTAGGCATTGGGGCGCGCCTTGGGACGCTGGGGTCGCGGCTGAAGGTAGTGTCCTCGACGAAGAGGAAGACCAGGATAATGGCTCCCCCAACAGGCCCTAGGGTCCACCAGAAGACGTATTCCCACGGTTTGGACTCGGCGATAAACCCACCAAGAGTGCCGCCACCGACGACGGCAAAGATGATCAGCACCTCGAAGATGGCAAAGGCCTTGCCGCGCTGGTGCAGAAAGAACATGTCCATGATGTATCCCGTCCCCATGATAGCGGGGATGACGCCGAACAAGCCACAGATGAGGCGCGAGATGGTGAACGGGATGAAGTCATCTGGGCCCGTCATGTTCGCTGCCCAGATCTGGCACGCAAAGGTGCTGGCGAGACTCCAGAGGATGACTGAACTGCGGCCGACGACGCCGGCAAATGGCGTAAACAAGAACGGACCAGCCATCCAGCCAGCGAGCGCGGCGGCGACGGTGTTGAGCAGGTCGGCCTGCGTCTTTCCGTATGTCGGGATCTGGAGGACGAAGGTGAGCTGGTTGGAGTTGGGCGACATCTGGCCCGCGAAGCCGGCGAGGCAGATGCATGCGAAAATAATGATCTTCTTCCGTATAGGCCAGTTCTGTGTCCGAGTTCAATATACACACTCTCAATGCTTCACGCGCGCAGACGATTGGAAGTCCGCGAGCTGGATCTCACTTACCAGCGGGTCATCCTCATCGTCGCTTGGCTGCGGGATGAGAACAACGTTTTTGCTGCTCCTCTTCTGCATAGTATCGGGGGACGCGTGAAGCTTCTCTGGCGACGGCATGTTGTCGTCTGACGCAGAGAAGTTGTCCTGTGTGAGAGAAGACATGGTGGTTCAACTCAACTTGCAACGGCCCGAGGACCGACGCCACGGGACGGGGGGAACGGTTTCAGGGTAGCGATTGGGATTAATTTCTCATCCCTACCGCCCGTGCTGTAACTTGTAAGGCCAGTCTCGGCGTCGCATGCATCGTGGCTGTTGGATATGCCCGGAAGCGATACAGATAGGGTGCAGTGAGAGTGTTCGAGAGAAGGGATTGGTAATGAGGCAGCTGGGCCCTTGGTTAGTAGGATCCAACATGCCATGTAGAGTCTGTGTACACCACTCACACCACTCACGCCACACTAAATGGTGGATTCTTCGGTGGCGTTTGGCTATCATCCTTGCTGAGGGTCAGGGGAGAAGCCGGGGGGACTAGGCCACTTCAGAAGCTGCTCCGAAATGATGCAGCATGGGACCCATACCCTACTAGGTACGGATTAGGAATAGACCAGTAGTATAGAATAGAGTAGCCGTATTAGGCAATATAAAAACCATTGGATTGTGATATCTACGCCTTCTAATCGTCGTGAGTAACTGTTATAATACTGTAGCTGCTGTAATACTGTAACTATTCCCATATCCCCATCGACATGGTGAAAATCCAGGGTAGGTACTTACCCCGGATTCTTATTACCATACAAATTAGCTGGTAGAGCCCAACCCCCCTGAAGTACTCTTTAATGTCCCACTATTTGATCGATGGGAAAGTAGATATAACATTAGCTACCCCTTTAAATATACAGTATATGAAGCTAGGATATAGTAACGCTTCTTCTATATTAATTTATATATATAACTTATAACTATGGATTCTAACGCTGGTATAGAGCGATATCATACTAACTATATACTCTACGTAGGTGATGGACGGTCACGAAACCCTACTCCGTGTCTATGGTGATCCAGCATATAAAGCAGCGTATGGAACTGCTTGTCCATGGACTCATCCACAAGGTAGACACCTTCTTCCGCCCTAACTACGCTGATCCTACGCTGATCCTACGCTAATTCTCGCTGCGGTGCAAAAATATGTGTTACATATCCAAAATAATATGATACCCTTAGACTAGATATATGAGTTACATTGCTTCACCAATCCCAGCATATGCTACGATGCAGCTCACATGCACTCGATATGTCTACAGCAAACACTATGTATGTACATCCATGGCCCCCGGCCGCCATCACTTTTATGGCGCCCTCAACTGTGCCACGCTGCCGGGCCAGATCGAACGATCAAATCGTCCTATTTGCCCTGACTGCCCGGACTGCCCGCCACAATGGCGCCCAGTGAGAGGGGATGGAAGATGATCATTATCGTCACGGTGCTGGTCGGTCTTGCCACAATCGCTACCGTCCTACGCGTTTTCGCTAGGCTCAAGCGCCGGGTCACGATTGAGATGAATGACTACCTCTGCTTTACGGCGCTGTTTCTCCTATATGGATGCTCGTGCAGTTGATTTTCTGTGAGATCATGTCCCCGTGCAAACTCAGCTAGCAGCTAACATCAAAACCAAGGGTGTGCCATCGGTGGTAACGGAACTCATTTTTCAGAGCTCTCTCCTGAAACTCTCATTATATTCGGCAAGGTCCAACAACCCGCCTCCACCCACACCCATCTCAGCAACTAACCCTTCCCAGATCTTCATCGCGAACCAATTCACCTACTTTGCTCTCTGCCCCGTCCTCAAAATCTCCATCATCTGCTTCTGCCGTTGCATTTTCTCGGGCGCGACCTTCCACCGCATCTCCGCCCTCATAAACTGGCTCATCGGCCTCTGGGCCGCCGCCATCTTCCTCACCTGCGCGCTCCAGTGTCGGCCCCTCCGCGGCTACTGGGACAAGTCCGTCGACGCCGTGTGCATCGATGGCACCACGTACTTCATCGTCAACCAGACCTTCAACGTCGACCCAGCCAACCGGCAACGCATTGCAGCCCTCAAATACAACGGCGCCCACCAGCGTAAGGGGCAGGGTATCCGCAAATTCGTTGCGTACCTCGAGGAATTGGAGCGGGAAATGGAGCCCTACACCGAGTCCCAGAGGACCACCCACCTCCTGACGAAGTTACACCCAGAAATGAGGCAGCGCCTCCTTGAGGGTGGCTACGCCGAGCGTTCCACGACCCACAGGGAGGCTGTTGTCAATATCCTAGCCATGCTGGAAATGAACAACCGGTGGGTAACCGAGAAGAATCCTTCTACGGATAGGCCCAACACAAGGGAGAATAAGGGAACCCTGCAGGGTGGCTTTCCAGCTCGGAAGGGCCACTTCAATAGCCACAAGTCGGGCAATCACCGGGAGCGAACGCCCTTCCAGGATCGCCGTCGATCGGACCAACAACCTGCGCGCAAGCCAGCCGACACCCAAGGCGCAAGGCCTACCCAAGTAGGGAACGCCTGTTACAACTGTGGCAGACCAGGCCACTTTGCAAAGGACTGCCGTAGCCAGCACACTGGGCCGGGAGTCCGGAAGCTGGATACCCAACTCCTCAAGCGGGAGTGACTCCCTACCGAAGCCCTACGCCCTACGCAGGCGAAGAGGATGGAGATCGACATTGAAATCAAAGTAGGGCCTACCTGGCACAAGGCCAAGGCTCTACTCGATTCGGGGTCGGACGTGTCAACTATCCACCCCCTCTTCGCAAAAGATAAGGGCCTAGAGTGCCGAGACAAGGGCCCACCTCGAGCGAGGGCTGTGGACGGCAAGGAGATTGCCATATACGGAGCGGCGACCGTACAGATCAAGGCCTGGGACCACTTTCGAAGGGAGACGACCGTAGACCAGACATTCCTTTCCATGGATACCCCTGGTGTGGATGTTATCCTTGGAATGGACTGAATCGTACAGGTCAACCCCCAGATCGATTGGCAGACCCAGATATGGCGCTACCCCTTCGATATATCGAAGGCGATGGAGGTGGGTATTGAAGAGCTAGACAAAGGCGATACTGCCTTTGTCCTGGCGTTGACCTCGGAAGGAGCATTGGAACCCCAATGCCCAAGGGAGTACGCTGAATTCGCCGACGTCTTCTCTAAGGAGCGGGCAGAAGACCTACCCGAGCTGGGTAGGAAGACCCACGGTATCGATACCAGCATGCAAGAGCCGCCTTACGGCCCGGTATACAACCTATCTGAGACGGAGTTGGCCACACTCCGGGAATACCTTCAATCAAGCGAAAGGAAGGGTTGGATCCAGAGGAGCATAAGCCCAGCGGGCGCGCCCATACTGTTCGTACAGAAGAAGGACGGCAGTCTACGCCTCTGCGTGGATTATAGGGGTCTGAATAAGATCACCGTAAAGAATAGGCACCCCTTGCCGCTGATCACAGAGACCTTGGATCGGCTCCAAGGAGCAAAGGTCTTCACAAAGCTTGATATTAGGAACGCCTACCACAGGATCCGGATCCGCCCAGGCGACGAGTGGAAGACCGCCTTCCGCACTCGTTACGGCCACTTTGAGTACAAAGTGATGCCTTTTGGCTTGGCCAACGCGCCAGCCACGTTTCAGGCCTATATGAACGAGACCCTCGAAGGGCTCGTTGATACGATATGCGTTGTATACCTCGACGATATCCTTATTTATTCCTCTAAAGAGGAGGAACATACCCACCACGTACAGGAGGTCCTAGGTCGCCTACGAGAGGCGAACCTATATGTAAAGCTCTCAAAGTGCGAGTTCAATACCAAACAGGTAGGCTTCCTTGGATATACCGTCACAACAGAAGGAGTGGCTATGGAAGGCGACCGGGTTGCTGCGATAGCTGAGTGGCCTACACCCAAGACCTACCGAGAGGTCCAGGTGTTTCTCGGCTTCGCCAACTTTTACCGACGCTTCATAGAGCAGTACTCCTCTGTTGTGGCACCCTTGACTGGCCTTATGAAGGGGGCCAAGGCCGGTAAACAGACCGGGCCCTTTATGTGGGGAGCAATGCAGCAGGGCGCGTTCGATCGCCTCAAGGAGGCCTTCACCACAGCTCCCATGTTAGTCCATTTCGATCCAAGTTGTAAGATTAGACTTGAGACAGACTCCTCCGGCTTCGGGTTGGCAGGGAATCTTTCCCAATATGTAGAAGAAACCCCAGAACGAAGGGGTGGGTGGCACCCAGTCGCCTTCTTCAGCAAAAAGCTGGAGCCAGCAGAGCTGAACTATGAGGTCCACGACCAAGAGCTCTTGGCGATCGTGAGATCTTTCGAACAGTGGAGGCATTACCTAGAGGGTAGCCAACACCCAATCTGTAATGGTGGGTGCACCAGATATGAGAATCTAGCCACCCAGGGAAGGGATGAATTTACTAAGACAACACACTGTCTTAGGAAACAGAGCCAAAGGGTTGTAGCTTAGACTATTCCACAACGCAGCAATCAGGTGTATGATGTGGTGAAGTGGTTTAGACAAGTTGCAACAAATGTTGAGTCTGAGAACTCAGGGGTAAGTCAGAGGTTAGCACCTCACTGACTTTTCAAAAACAGAGAATAACAAGATCAATGCTTGGAAGCTTGTAAAAGACGTGGAAGTATGTGATAGTCGATTTACTGTATTGCCTGCTTGCCCTTTCTTAAGGAAAGGGCAATCCTATTTATGCCAAAGGAGTGTAGTTCTCTCATTTTCCATGACTTTCCATGACTAACCAGGCTTGGTAAATGTATTAGAAATCAAGTGCGACCCACAACTAGCTTGCTAATCATGTAGTGAACGTAAGAGAATCCCATAGAACCATCTCTTGGGTTCCTAGCCTATAGGAAGTGAAAAGGAGGTCCAAGGTCAGAGTACCTATAGACAAATTATGTCATAACTTAACCAATCTTGTGGGTAACTAAGGAGCGATGACGTGTAATGAATCATAGAGGATTGTAGAAGCTTCTAGAGCTATCGTTCATGTTCCTAGGCCTCTAGTTGGTAGAGATATGCCATGTGGTAGTATTGGCCCACCCCCTTAAGGAGGAGATTTTCTTAATAACTTGTTCAATGAGTGTCCAAATGATATGCCGTGATGTATGTAGCATAAACAGATGTAGTAGAAGAGTTTGCAGCAATCGTTCAGTAGTATTGCTTCTGTTGTTGGTGTGATAAGCCAAGATATGTATGGTGACTTGTAGGTTTGAGGAGGAGATTTCTAAGTTTGCTCTTGAGTTTGATAGCAAACTGAGTGCAACGAATGTCAGTATGACATGATCCCCCTTTTAAGGACGTTTGTTGGCTGTCTGCTTGCCCTTTAGTCAGTTGGCTTTCTTAGAAAGAAATTCTAGAATGAGCTTAGATGCATTTTTTAGATTTCTCTTAGGCTCCCAAGTGTTGTCACTTGTAGGATAGCCTTTCCACTTAACGAGGAAGTAGTCCTGACCTCTAAGTGTCTTTTTGTCAAGGATAGACTCTACTTCATATTCTGGTTGATCCAAGATCAGAACAGGAGGTGGAGGAGACTGAAGTGGTCTTAAGGAACTTTCTTGTGCCTTAGACAAGAGAGATGCATGGAAGACATTATGGATAGTCCAAGTAGGTGGTAATGCAAGCTCGAAAGCATTCTTGCCAATAGTCCTTGTGATCTTAAAAGGTCCAAGTCTTTTAGTATCAAGTTTGTCTGAAGGTCTAGTAGTTGTGATATGTCTTCTAGACAAAAAGACTTGATCACCAACTTTGAATTGTGGTGCAACCACCCCCCTGTTAAAGGCCTGAGCCTGCTCGTCTTGTGCACGCTGTATTTGAACCTTGAGATAGTCCTGGAGGCCCTTAAGGTAGATGATTCTTTCAGTAGCAGAAGGGTTTTTGAAATTTTCAGGACAATTCAGTTCTGCCACTTCAAACCTAGGGTGATAACCATAGTTTGCATAGAAAGGTGTCTCTTTTGTGGTGTTAGAGACTGTGTTGTTGTAAGCAAATTCTGCAAGATGGAGAAGATCTGCCCAGTTGTCTTGAGCATAGTTTGTATAAATTCTTAGATATTGTTCAAGTACAGAGTTGACTCTCTCTGTCTGGCCATCTGTTTGAGGGTGATAAGCTGTAGAAAAGCGTTGTTCCATGTTTAAGAGTTTAGAGAACTCCTTAAAAAAGTTTGAAGTGAAAACTGCTCCCCTATCTGAGATCCAGTGTCCAGGAATTCCATGATATTTAAAGACCACCTTGAGGAATAGCCACGCAAGTTCAGAAGCTGTGATAGTCTCATTGCAAGGCTCAAAGTGTGCCATTTTTGTGAGCCTTTCTACCACCACAAGGATAGAGTCATAAGGGGTAGCACCCCCTTTTGGGATAGAAGGAGGCAACTTGACTATAAAGTCAATGGATATGGAGTCCCATGGGCGTTCTGGTATAGGTAGAGGCTGCAAGAGGCCATAGGGCTTTTGCCGTGTAGGTTTGTTCAAGTTGCAAGTAGTGCAAGAAGATATATAGTCTTGAAGAGTAGTCCTTAGACTAGGCCAGTAGAACTTTCTTGTTAGAAGTTCATAAGTTTTTGCAAAGCCAAAGTGTCCTGCAGCTGGAGCATCATGGAACTGCTGTAGGAGGTGTAGCTGTAATCGTTTATCCCTTGGGACATAGATATAGTTCTTGAATAAGAGAAGTCCATGCTGATTTTTTGAGAAATTCTGTAGTCCAACTTTCTCAAGAGAGGAACCTTTCTTCTGGAGGTATTCCAAAGTTCTTTTCGCAAAGGGATCATGGTTGTAAGCATCTTTGAATGCTTTAAGAAGTGTTGCTGAGGGTGTATAGTCTTTAAAGGTCTCTGGTTCCTGAGAAGAGGTAATGGGGGCAACTTGGTCTTGAGGGGATAAGTTTACCCCTAAGTCCTCTGTAGTACTAGGGTTGCTTAAAGATGCTGCTATAAGCTTTGCTGAGTCTAGCAGAGCCTTTGTATTGCTAGTTTTAGCAGAATCTTGGTAGTCATGTCTTCTTGAGAGGAGATCTGCTCTTTGATTCTTGGCCCCTGAGACATGTTTTATAACAAAGTCAAAACCTCCTAGTTGTTCAGACCACCTTGCTTGTCGTCGATTGAGCTGTTTAGTGGTTGTAAAGGTCAAGAGATTTGAATGGTCACTGTAAATAGTGATAGGATAGTTTGCCCCTTCAAGGTAGCATCTCCAATGCTTTAGAGAACATACTATGGCAAGCAGTTCCTTGTCTGTAATGGGATAGTTTTGTTCAGCTGCTGATAGCTTTCTTGAGTAAAATGCCACAGGCTGTAGCTCTTCTTGTTTGTCTTTTGGAGCTTGGTATAAGATTCCAGAAATGGCAAAATCTGAGGCATCTGTCTCAAGAGTGGCAGGTTTCAAGGGGTTAAAGTGTAGTAACATTTTCCCTTCTTTAAATTCTTCTTTAAGAGCATCGAAAGCATCTTGCTGTGTCTTATCCCAGTGATACAAAGTGTCCTTGTGAAGTAATTGAGTAAGGGGTAAAGCCAAGGATGTATATCTTGGTATAAACCTCCTGTAATAGTTGGCAAACCCAAGGAAAGACTGAACCTCTTTAATGCTGGAAGGAATAGGCCACGTTTGTACTGCTTTTGTCTTTTCAGGGTCCATCTGAAT